ATGAACTATATAGTTCAAGCTTGACTTAAGTTTGAATTGATGTGTATGAGCGCTAGGTCAAAGCACGAAATGAGTGTTAACTCAACCGCAAACGAGCCAGTCAATTATTTTACAAGTTTATTTGAAACAATAGCACAATCGGAACGAGTGGTTCAGGCATAGCCTGTTATAATAGTTTCATCGTTATGGTAGCATCTATTTTGAGGAGACGGAGAGGTCACATAAATGGGTAAGGCTGCTCATTCGGTTAAAACCGAACTGAAACGATCGAATTTTCGGTTAACCAAACATTCGGTTTGTCCATTATCATAACTGAAACTGAACCGAAATTTACAGTTCGGTTCGGTTTTTAACCGAAATCCAACGGTTGGTTCGATTCGGTTTTCGGTTAATCGCAATAATTAATTAATATTATTAACAAATTTTGAATTTTTTACCAAATAAAAAATTTGATGTTTTATCCCAACAAAAAAATGTAATTTTTTATCAGCTTGTTTAATCTTTTCAATAAATTCGAAATTCTCCTCAAAGGAAGATTCCGTGCCCAAAACGTGACGTGGACTACGACGAAGCTAATTTTAGTGCAAATTTATGGTTGAGCAATTTTAGGGGTCAATGAAGCGTCAAAATCATCAATAATTGAAGCAAAATTAATGCTTATACAACTTAAATGTATAAATAAAAAACATGTATACATATGTATATAAATCGGTTTCGCTTCGATTCGGTTAACCGATCACAACTATCCAAACCGAACCGAAAACCAAAATTTTAGGAAAATGTAAACCGAAAACCGAATCAAATAATCGGTTTCGGTCCAAACCGAATTTTCGGTTTCAGTCGGTTCGGCTCGGTTAACCGAACTTTGTGCACCCCTATAAATGGGGTTACATTTAGGGATGTAAATGGGTAGGGTCGATGTGGTTTTGACAAACCCGAAACCGACCCGCATGTATTTTACCCTACCATTACTTGGTGATTGGCCTTAAGGCTTTTGTCCTTCCTTTGAAATTGATTTTTCAAAAATTGCTCCACATGACATCCTGAAACTACATTTCACAATGCACACATAAACTAATTAGCATTACAACCAAATTTAGGGCAACAATCAAGCAAAAGCCAACAAGATCCCATGGCAAATGTGACAAGCCTGCATTCTGCAAAATATCTAGTTTTGATTCAGTTGTCTACAAACAAGTCCTCTATATTATGAAAATCTCTAGCTTTCTCGCAAGGACAAGTCATGTTATAAACTCCAGGAGATATAAATTCTACACGAAACTTCCCAAAAGGCCTTCCGAAAAATCATACACCAAAAACAAAAAAAATCAAACGTGATCTAGTTTGTTCCTTTTGCCCCAGCAAGATACTTCTCCAAATCAGCATCCAAATCTTCTGCAGATATTTTCTCAGCACGACCTCTACCGGGCCCCACACGGTCATTCCTCGGGCCACGAAAACCACCCTGGCCTCGTCTTGCAGCAACATCACCTCTTCCTTGTACTCGTGGAGGATTCCTTTTCACAGTTGAATTTTATCATCAAATATATATATCTCAAAATAAATATATAGTAGAATATACAAGCAGGCACGTGTAGGAATTGTACAATATTTTAGAGAAAGTGTAGCAAGCGTATGTAATACAAGTTTTATAACAAGAAATAATAAAGTAAATCAAGGGAATCGTCAATATTTCGGGGTTGAAGTAGATTTTTTTTTATGTAACACAGAAATAATACGCAATTAAAGCCTGACATCTGCCCGAAAGAGGACAAAGATATGTTATAAATTGTGTTCATGAACAGATGATTGGTTTTCACTTTACGAGGGAATCACACTCTGTATGAAAATGCATATGCATTTACATATCCAACTATCGGCCAGCAGATAATGCTCGCTAGTAATAACCAAACAATGCGACAGGAAAAAGCCTCTTGCTTTCTAGTCAAAGCCACCATTAAGCAGCACAATCACTTGTTATTATGTATATATGTCAACAAAATAAAGATTAGTATCATAATAAAGAAAGTAACCACAAATGTGAACTCTGCATTATAATCTGCAAAACTACATTTCTTCCCACATATTTGTGGGATATTTCAAGTGACCACCACATATAGGTACCTCCGGTTATTCACATACATGGCATGCATATCTGGAGGAAACATGGGACGCGAGTCCATGTTCATCCCCACAAGCTCGATCCTCATAGGCATCCCATCCAGCTGGACATTGTTGTACCTCTTTATGGCAGTCTCTGCATCTCGACGTCGAGAGAACACTACTACTGCAGTTCCCTACACGAAACAGAAAATGTTATTTTTTACTAAATATGGAAATAATATTTTTTAGTGAAAGTTAAATAAATATAGCAATGAGCCACACCTCTGATCTTCCACTCCTATCGTAATGGATCGAATGACTTTTCAGCTCACCTATTCCCGAGAATAGCTCCTGAAGATATTATAACACAACGTTTGAAGGGTTACGTTTTGCAACTTTACCTAAAACAAGTAAAATATATAAAGTCTTTCACCATATGGAAATTATTCTTTATCAAAAGAGAATGAATGATTCTATAAAAGATACGGTAGGCAAACTTACTCGTGTAAAAAGTATTTTCTTGCCCTTAATTGGTCTGCCAGAACAAAAGATCAATGCATTTCTCTCACAATTACACAACACAAACAAGACTTACGTATTTCTTGGCTACTACAGTTCTTGTGTGTGTGTGGCAAGAGTTTCATTCATAATCAACCAGGAAACAAAACATCTAAAAGTGGGCCAAAAAAAAAAAAAAAAAAAAAA